TGTCCATTCCTAAAACAACCAAAGCACAGAAGACTTGAGTGGCAGGCTGCTCAGGTGTTGCAGAGATGTTTTGTACGATGCTGAAATGCTCGTTCTCCCTTAACTTCCTCCGGTGGAAGAGGCAATGTTTTACCTTGCTCCAGCATAGGTCTATGAAGTCTTCCTGTTTTTTCTTTCCCTTTTTTAGGAGAATTCACTCAAGACTTATCATATAAACATTTTATGCTAAGCTAAATTGCAATGGATGGAAGCAGTGCACAGAAAGGGTTTTTTTTGTGTTTTTTTTGTTTGTTTGGTTTTTTTTGGTACGAAGGCAAAAAGAGCTTAAATATTCTTCCCTAATTGGAAGCAACGGTGAACTGGGACCATGAGAATTTTTAATGACGGTAAAAATAAATTTCCCTGGCAGATGTTAGTATCCTAATCCTCAAACTGCAATGTGAGTTTCAGTGGTGCTGGGGTAAGCTTGGGGTGTAGGTACTTGATGCATTTTTGAAATCTAAAACGCTCGTCACGTCTGTGTTAATTACCGTGGTGTTAATAAGGCTTCTGAGATCTGCACTCTTCAACATTTTGTTTCTTACTGTCTACCCAGCTCCTCCAGTGGCTTTGTGTAGAAATTATAGTAATTCTCCTGTAGAAGTTGATGTGCTCTTTTTGAATCTTGCTTGATTGGAGCTCTGGTGTGAATTGCCTGATCTGTTGAGTACATCTAGCCATGCTTACCTGATCTGTGTACATCCAAAGCTAGCAATGGCCCCAACCATGTCCCCTTCAGCTTTGCGGATACTGCTCTGGGATATTCATTAGTTGGTTAAGACAGCTATGTCTTTTAATAAAGAGTTGACGGTTCAGTTGTTATGCAGAATTGGCTTTATATATAGAACAAGGAGACCACCATGCAGATGTTCCTGCAGCACAGTCGTCTGGACAGGGGTAGGCTTGTGGCAGCATAGTGAAAGACTTCGTATGTCCCGAGGCTGGTGGTTTCATGAAGTTCACAATTTAATTTAAGGGGACAAATTCCCCTCTGTGTAATGAGTGACCAAATACAATTTTATTTCTAGCTTCCCTTTTTTAGTGTGCTTGCAAATCTGCCTGTTGACTGGTAGTAGCTTTGGGCTTCTCAAAATTGAAGTTCCTGTGTCTAGATATAGTCATATATGGACTGCTATAGACATATATGGAAGCAATCCAGGGCGCAGTTCCCTAAAGCTTTACTCTCTTCAAAATAATATAGAAATGTCTCCACCATAGTATTTGGTAATACTGAACCTTTGTAGTGTTTTTTCCCCTCTGAGTCTTCAGTGATTTATTTATTTATTTATTTATTTTTCCAGGGGATGTAAGCAGGTTTTGTGGATGGAGGATGCAATGAAATTCTTTGCCAGGCATCAGCACTGACTTGCGATTTCAGGCAAGGTGCCTAGGCCTGAGTCTAATGGGCAGTGAAGTTCAGAATGGAATGCCTTTAGCCTTTGGATTTCAACCTTTAAATTTTTTAACCTTGGGACTTTGTTACAATCTGTGTAGACATGTGGGAAGCAGCCCTACTAAAAATCTGCCTGATCCAAGGTGACAAATAGATATGTCACAAATATGGAGAGAGAATAATGAGAATATGTAATGCTTCTAAGCTTGTGCTGTTAAAAGGCCAGCAGTACAGGTGGCTTAATGGTGTCGTCAGCAGACTTAGCTTTTGAAAGGTAAATACTGACAGAACTTTTTAAGATACTAGACCGCTACCGATTTCAAATATGTTTGGAAGGCCTGAGTCCACACCTCCGAAGCTTAATCACCTGTGTGTAAGCGTTCTCACTTCCTATGTACAAAAATTGTGTTCGTGGCAGGTAGGGTTCAGCATATTTGTTGGGCCCTTGTACCTGTCTCAATTCTCTATTTGTAAAACACTCCTTTTCCCATCTTTTTCTTTCTTAATTTAGTTTATAAGCAATTTGGCGCAGGTATGGTACTTGCATGTGTACTATCTAGCACTTAGTGGAATTAAGAGGACTTTATACTTCTGTGCTGGGAATCAATTGCATGCGTGTGATCTCTACTCTTGAGCTGGCTTCTTGCAGGAATTTAAAATAACTATTTGGTGTGATTTTTATTTTAAATATTGAATTACTTCTTGAACAAACAAATCCCAGACACTAATTTTGTCCTAATGTGAGTTAACATTCTGACTCGCTTGCGTTAGATAGCTACTTCACTTGTGAGGAGAAAACTATTTCTTTACTGCTTCCCTAAAGAGTTTGTTTTATTTGGATAACCTTGTGTCGGGATGCCTTTGGATACCTTATATGTGGACATATCTAATCTAGTATTAACAAGTCATCATTCGCTGAAATTAGTTCTCCTCACAGAAGAGGTGGTTCACAGTCAGAAAAGAGTTGGGAAAGACCTATCGTATTGGCAGAGGGATGAACTGAATTTGAGACTTCCTCATGTGCTTTCTAGTGTCAGTCTAGGCTGTTTATTGAAAGACATGTTGCAGGGATTGGTGGTTTAGTATATCAGTTCGTAAGGTAAAGAACAGGTTATCTCAATTTGAGTTTCTATCCTAAAACTGGCAAAGTATATGCAAAAATAGAATGTACTACACAAGGCTAGGTTAAGTGTAGTGCCGGCTTCGGTCTTTGTTCTGCTCTAATAAGCCAAAAGAAGCATTCATTTTAAAGGAAAAAAGGTGCAAAAGTTCTTGTAAAATTAATTCTGTGCCTGACAGCCTGGTTTGGCTTTTCATTCTGCATAGGTGCATCTTGGTGTGCATGCTGCAGAACTTTTGCCTGGCAGCAGAGATGCAGAGGTCCTCCCTCTTAGGAGTTTAGTTGTCTTGCGTGCTCTTGATGAGGTGTTGGATTTTAGTATGGCGATGAGATTGTGGTAATTGGACTTAATTTACGTTTTAAATTCAACTTTTTACGTTTTAAATTCAACTTCTCAGCTTTAAAAACAGATTTTAAGTGAGATGGAAGCAACATTGTGAACAGTATTGAAAACCAAAATGATATTTCTTCTGAGCAGCAGATTAAAAAGACTACATCTTCACTTCCTAATGTTTCTGCCATAGGCAGGAGAAAGGAGAACTTTCTAAAAGTTCCTGTACCCCAAATCTTCAAAAACAAATCTAGAATGCCATCTTGTGGTTCTGGTGCCAATCTAAACGTTAAATCCTGTGGAGTCAAATACTCCACAGAGCTGAGCCTTAAAGGCACTGCTCACAGTATCCTTAATATGCAGAGCTGCTTGAAACAGGTGTGGTGATTTGTAAAGGTGTGATGACATACCTTGTTCTCCTTGTTGCCAGTGAAGGAGTTACAAAGAGTACAAAGTGGAGTGAAGTCTTTGGTATGTGCTGTGAGCTTTTGCTGCTGCTTTGATCATCTAGGACTTGTTTAAACATTTGTGGCTTGTCAAAATATTACCTGACTACTTGGACTCTTCCTATGTTGGCAGGAGCCACTTGGATAGGAGGAGGTTTTATAGCTATGCGCAGAAGCCATTTAAATTATAATGAAGAAAATAAGACCTATTCCTCTGTATATGTGTGAAACAGATAGGCCTCCAGGCCAAGGGAAGGTAACTCCATTTCCTAGCAGGAAAGTCTTTGGCTCCTTGTATATGCAGAGGAACGAGGCTGATTTCTTGTTGATGCTGGTGAATCTAGACAAAGCCTCCCGAATGACTTGGTGGTTTAAATACAGAAAAAGACAACTGATTTCAGAGTTTAAGGTAAGAGTTCAGAGAAAAGTGCTTGAAGTGCAGCTTGCTCCGCATAAGCGGCTTAGAAGTGGGAACGGAGAATTTTAAACCTGTATCTGAAGAAATGATAGCTAACAGCCGGCTTTAACAGGGAGCAACTGTTGGGAGGAGCAGAAATTGAGAGAAGTGCAATCATTCTGAAAGCTGCTGCCAAGATTTAATGTTGCTTGAAAATGAGATAGTACCTTTCCCCTGTATTGTAACTTAAAGCTCTCCTGTCAGTAGGTACTCTTTATCTGCTTTGATACGTAATAGAGTCAAAACTGGAGGGTACCAATGAAGTCAGTGTGGTTGTGTTAAGGTACACTTGTTCCCCCATCTGGTTCTGACCTGGATTAGGTTGTCTTGAACCTGGAGATGTCTGGCTAGGACGCTTTCCATCTCTGCATGCAAACAGACTGATTGCCCTAGGAATGGTTTTGTTGCTGTCAGCTGGGCCTGGATATCAAGGGTCTCTGGAAAAAAATGTGACTTTCACTGATTATTTCAAACATTTAAAATCATAAGGCAAGAGAAATAAATGCTGTATAAGGAATACTTAACAACAAACAGCTGTCTTCCTTCGTCTTGCTTCAGTTCTTTTTGTGTAAGTTGTATTCATATACTTAGGTATGTATCTGTAATCAATAGTTTAAGTGGTTGTGGTTGCTCATAGTTTAGATGCTGATGCTAAAGTGCCTTTTACGTTTTAAAGCTTAGAGCTGTTTGTGTGTGACTGCTGTACTTGTCTGCCTCTTGGTGCCAGTTTTTATATTAATATTGTTACAGACTTTCTGTGGGCCTCAGTGAGATGCTGCAGGCAAACTTAAGAGTGCTTGTGTTTTGAGAGAAATGTAGGGCGGGTACACTGTTTCTTCCTTTCTCCTCCCTGCCTTTCCTTCCTGTGCAACCTGCAGGGAACTGTGGTGATGCGTTTTTACCCTGAACTGTCTGCTCAGTTTCTGCCTTTCGGAGTTACTGATTTCATTCTGCTATCAGATTATATTTGCCTGTGGTAAGTCACGGGCTTTTAAGAGTTAGCTTAAAACAGGCAATTACCATATCAGTAAGGAAAATCTCCCCAAGCTGTTTTTTCCAACTTGTGTTTTCATATTGGTCGGTATGGCCAGTTTTTGCAAGTGCCCACCAGGATCTTTTAGTTCCCTGAGGCAGCAGTGTCTCCGGAACTGGACTAACTGTAATGTCTATTGCTTGAAGGAAGCTATGAGTGACGAGAGGCAGACACTACAGCTATGCTTGAGAAGGGCAACGTGGAGCTTCTCCTAGGAAGGGCAGTCAAGTACTTTCTAGAGGTGTTTTTGAGACCTTCAACTGGAAGTAAGGAAGAAGGCGTAGGGGAGGAGAATCTTTCTTTTCATTTTTCTAGTTCAATAAAGTACAGCAAACTTTTTACAGGGAGGGGGAAGATGTTTGGGAACCTCTTCAAGGTGTGGGCTTATCCTCTTGCTGTTTGACATGTTTTTCTTTTTGGATCATGTTATACGTTGTAGGCTGTAGAGATTCTGGGGGAAAGCAAGAGTGTTGGGGAGGATGGAAGCAGCCAGGAACGAACGTAAAGAATGAGGAAGCATAGCGGGGGATTGCCAAGCTCTGTAGCTGCTTCTTGCCTCACATTCATTTCTTCATTAAGCTGGAATATGAGGGGCTTTTGTCAATTGGATCATTCAACTAATTTGACTAAATACTGCATGTTGCTGCCTGGCTGATCTGTTGTTATGCTTCATGGGTGAAAGCTTGTGAGTGCAGCAACTATTGGTACTTGTGATAGAAACTTAGCAGTGACTTAGAGATAATAGATTGGGAATGTGTGGAAACTAAAGATCACTTGTGAGACAGCAGTGTTCCTGTCTGGATATAGATGTTCAAGTCTGTATCAGTTTTTCTTTGTGAAGGTTTCAAAAAGTAGAAATGTAAAAGATGTTTCTGTATGTATTGTATAGAAGTATACTGTATGAATAAAACCATATCTCTGGTGAGAGGAACGAGTACTTACTGTTTAAATAGTACTTGGTATAGTAGCAGAGACAAAGTAAAGGGGCACAGGAATGGCCGGATATGTACTTAACTCTTAAGTTTGTTGTGTATTTTGTGATTCCGGATACAAATCTGGAGTAATTTGAGTGTAGAGAATAACTTATCTTTTTTTTAGCTGAAATAGATATAAGTTCCAAGTTGCCATGCCTGCTTATAAACTAACTTTTTCCTCTCTTCTCTTACAGTTACCTTGTCACATATCACACAGCTGGTTCTCAGTCACAACAAGCTTACAAGTAAGTATACTGCTGTTTTTTGACTTCATTGCAGGAAGTTGAGCTTAGAAAAGCTGCCACTGCTAGTCTGTTTTCTGCAGAGCAGAATGTCACTTATGATAAGAGGGCGAGAGGGTTGTTGGTGAAACGCTTCATAAAAAATAGATGGAGGAAGTGACTTAGCAGTTGTGTTCCACATGTATCTCTAGCTTCAGTTTAAGTCCGCCACATACCAGAATAAGTTCTGTAACTCTCTGTCTTGTTAAATAAAAGTAGTCCTCTCCCTGCCACAATTCTGTGAAGTCCTCATCTTCAGGTGTTCAAAAAAGGATGCAGCTTGCTTTTTAGTAGCTAGATAATTCATTTGATTGAAACAAGTGAAAAATTACAATTTGACTGTGACTGTATTATATTCATAACCCAATTGATAGGAGGGAGGCCAGCTGGATGTGGGCTGCAGGCTTGAAAGAAGCCAAGCCGTCTACTTCCATCAAGAAAAATGTTTTGAGTGTCAATAAGTCTCTTGCTTGTACTTGCATACAGCACCTTCAGCTGTTACTATCTGGTTACTCCTGTCCCATATTAAAGAAGTCCTCAAGTGAGGTGTTGGTGAATCTCAAGTCATGAGAGCAGCATAAACATGAGACTTAGCTTAGTGGAGAGAGGTATCAAACTGACTTTTGTGAGACGAAAGAAATGATTTCTTTGTACAAGAAAGCTTCAGCATTACTTGGCCCTACCTTGTGCAAACATTCCTGCTTCTTTGCAACAAGTTTCACCTGATCCCTTTTGCAGTGCTTCTTGTATATAGAAGAAAAGTATTGGTTTTGGTGGCTTTCTGCTTGTCTGTGTCTGCTCTCTGCTTATGCCAGTGGATTTCTTTCTTAACCATTCCTTTCTGTTTGGAATTCTTTTTTTTAAGAGCTGGAGGGGGGAGGATTGGCACTACCAAAGAGGGTGTGTACCTTGGAGGAAATGACTGGGCAAATGCTGTAGTATCTGTCAGGCTATCCTTAAAAGATGCTTTACAAGTTGAGGTTGGGGAAAAAAACCTATCCAACTCTAAATTGTTTTCTGGATAAGCTATAAAATAGCATGTGTTACTTAAAAGGTATGTATTAATGTGAAAAGCTTGTCTTAGTGTTTAAGGCTTTGGGCATTTGAGTAGGATTTAGGCTGAGTGGGAAAAAAATGAATATATTCTTAGATTATGCCATGTGAATACTTACTCTTCTCTGGAGGCAGTTTATTGAGTACTAATGTGTGGCTTAAAGGGTAGATAGATAAAAGCATGGGCAGCATGTGAAAGACTGAGAAACGTGAAGTAGCTATTATAGGTCCTGCTTTTGTATAGTGTCTAGATTGGCATCTCACTTTTTTGCCCCGTAACAGTTTCCAAACAACTCTCAATTTAATTATAAGTTTGGCCTGCAGTTTCCAGCTATCTCACATGTAAATAAGGATTGGTAGGCAAATTCATGGATGAAGTCAGGAAGAGTGTCTTACGTGTTAAATGCACAGATCCACCTCAGGTTTACAAGGTCATGGAGTAGCAAATAACTGGAAGCTGAGGGAGTGTTTTGGGAAAGCATTACTGTGTGTTGGCCTTGGTCATATTGCTATGTGGCATCTGTTATTAGCCACGGATGGAGTTGGGATATTGGACTGGAGGGATTTTTAGTCTGACCCAGTCTGGCAGCTCCTATTTTCCTTCATGTCACTGCTTTTCTTCCAGAGAAGGTATACCTGCTGAGTGGGGATGCCTTTGTCTGAACTTGAGCTGTCTAAAAGCTAGGTGGTTAATTGTATCTAGGCATTTTGGCTCTTTCTGTAGCTGTAGGAGCGTTGTGGGTGCATTAAGATAGCAGTTCATTTTACTCATCTCTATCTAATGCCTGTGTGACAAGGTCCGCGTACTCAGCCAAAGCTGGATTAAGCGAATGCCACCTGGTGCTGCCAGGCAGACCTCTCAGGTGCTGGTTATTTGCTCTACTTTCTATTGTCTGAATTACTGCTGACCTGTGGCACAAGGATTAAGAGAGTTGTAAGCATTACTGTTGGTAAACTTTACTATTCTCTTCTGTGGGATGTGTGTTTAAAAAAAAAAAAAAAAACAATGCTTGAAAGCTAGTAGACTTCCAAGGGCTTGATCACCTCTTGCATGTCACACATGACAAATACTAAATGCAGTTAGAGGGTGAATTTAGCTGAGAAGACAACTGGCTACGACATGAAGCAGATCTCTGTCTTGATCTGAGGAAAAGGCAGGTGCGAGGAGACTTAGATCAAAGAAGGCTTGGCTGTCTGTGAATTGAGCCTGCAGAGCATGGCATACTTTAGCATGAATGCCAAAATTGAAAGCTAAATGAATAACCTATGTCATAGTTGGAAGTCTTCAGCTGAAGGCTCAATTGGAAGGTGAAAAAAAAACTATAGTAGCGTGGGATGCCCAAGAAGGATGTGTTGAGGTTAATTTCCACTATTCAAGAAAAATCTGTACAGCTCCAGTTTGTAAAGCAGTTTTAGTTTTCAAAATACCAGTTTTGGGCTACCACTACTCTAAAACTGTGACTCATTAAAACTCTATTTTTAAAAAGTTTTATCTGCTATTTTAGAAGAAAGTAGCACTTAGATCAGCAGGCTATATGAATATGGAAGCAAATATCTGTTCTCTCTAAAAGGGATACTGTTAACCTATCTAATTGATGTTTGGATTTCTTTATAGAAAGGTTAAAAAGAAAAAAAAAAAAGAAAACACTGCTTATCCTGAAAAGTGACTCATCAAGGCTGGAATTTACTGTTCTTTCACAAACTATGATGTAGACATTTAAACAGACAGCACATATTTTTTAAAGGCTAAATTTCAAGTTCATATTCTCGTATTTGACATGCTTGACCTAATCATTTCTGCTGCGTAATTAATTGTCTTAGGAGATTGCTCTTAAAATGACTAGGAAGCTGGTGGCGGTGACACTTGACATGCTACACTAAGGTCATATTAGCATCTTCTGCAGTTCTCTGCCATTTAAGTGAATGTTCTGCTTGCTCTCTTTTTTTCTACTGTTTAGAGTAAATATGTCTATCTGGAAAAATAAATGTATGTAAAAAGTAGATATGCATATTTTCATGTAACCATATCCCATGTTTTTGCCAGCCAAATCTATCTGAGGTAAGCAAAGTTTCATTAGCAAGTATGAGGACAACACTATTAAATCCATCGTACTGCTTAGAATATTCCTGTGGCATGCTTTTGTTAATATCATTAGTATGCTATTCACACTGCTAGTGTTTCTGCATTTACCTGTCTGTAAATCATTCCTAATCAGAAGTACTCAAATCACATTGATTTTTCTTGAGTATATTGGGCTGTTTTTTCCAGCTGTCCAGTGCTGTGCTAATGAAGGAATCTTGAACTTGCTGCTTCTGTTCCAGGTTACTTGTGAAACACTTCAGTTCTTTTCCTGCTTCATGGGGATTTTTTTTTTTCTTTTGAACAGCTTCAAAATCAGAAGCAAAAACTCCAGGGAAGGCTGAATATTTCTGATTCTGCAGTCTTGTTGAGCCTGTTGCTGCATAAGTACTTAGAAGCCTGGGACGATTTGGTTGTAGGGTCTCGAGTGACAAATCAGTTGAAAGTAGAGGGAGAAAGTGAGTACTTGTCTTTGTTTTCACCTTACTTTAGACACATGGGCCAGTTATCTCTATACTGGTTTTTTTGTTCCATCATCTAGTGATTTAGAGCCGAACTTTGCCGAGAAGCAAAATTAAAGACAATTGGGCTTATGCATAAATTGTCTGCTCTGACCAAGCATCTTTTGAACCCACTGGGTAACATCAAATTGTAAACAGAATGGAAGTTCTTGATAAACGTTCCTCAGATCTGTGAAAATCGGTGTCTGAGTAGCGGAGATCTGTCCTTCAGTGTGGTGGGTTATGTTAGGTGGATGTAACTAAGCTGTCTTTGTTTGATTTGGTGAGAGCTGGGTGATATATAGGTGTCATTCATCTGCTCATTGGGGTTGTTAATAGGGACATGAATAATGGTCAGGAATTAGGATTGTGCTAGAGAGGGAAGGAGGGAGTTAGAGCCACAGGACATCTGTAGAAACTGGGTTTGATCTGTTTAGCTAAACTGCGAATACTGTTTTCATGCTGTCTGGGCAACACTAATAGCTTTACGGATCTCTATTCTATTAAGGTTTTTGCACTCTAACTTAAAAACTTGAGAGTGAAGCAGTCCTTAAGTGGGATTTTTGCTGCAGACTTGAAAGGAAACTGCCTTGGCTACCTGTTCTCTCTGGCACCGCTGCGTGATGACAAATGAAACGCAAGTGTCAACGTAGACTTGCATGTTTTGCAGGACCACCCAATATTTATTCTTCCGCTTAGGTTGCTGCTGCGTGATGGATGTACCAGACATGGTGGTTGGGGTGGCCGTGCCAGTAGCGTGTTCTGCTGTTTTCCAACAGCAGTTTGTTTCCAGCAGTTCTTGTGGAACAATTGGAACTCCAATTGTTTCCAACAATTTGGAGTTACATGAAGTTATATGGATGTTTTGCATCCAGGAATTGCTTGCTGAAGTTCTTGAAATCAAACATCCTACTTTGTTCAAACTTCTGATTTCCCCTCAGTTTTGAGGGAGAGATGTTAGGAATTGAAGAATGGGATGTCCAAGGGAACTTAGAGCAGGGAGGGGAAATTGCAAAGGACTGGTTATCTTTTCTACTCTGGCACTTGCACCAAGTGATTTCAAGCAGCATGTTTTGGAGCTCTGGGAGGGAGAATATAATGGATGGGGGGTGTGTGGTTTCCTCCCAGCTATGATGAAGGTTGGGTATAGCTTCTATTTATTAGAGTAGACAAATCTTCATTCATTTTGCTTTGATTTTGAGAACTTAGCTTTTTACATGATTGGATGCACTAGAAACAGAACTAGAAACTAGAAACTAGATGATTGCCTCTGACTGGAAAGAAGGTACCTTCATAGGCTGTAACTGAAGTCAGCAGGACAGACATTAGAC